ACAGGCRGGTTTGCCACTGGGCAGCGGGAGAGGAGCCCGGTCCTCCCCAGCCACAGCTCCTCGGGCTGGGCACCACTGCCAGCATCCTCACCCAGTAATGAGGGGTTTCCATGGCAACCTTATTTGAGCATCTCGAGTGACACAGATGTAAATTTTAAAAAATGAAATATTCAGACCACAGTCCTGTGAGCATAAATAAACCCCTGCACATGGGCAATTTAACAGCATTTTAAAGCAGATCCGGAACTCCCCAGGGCCGGCCGAGTCTCTGTGGCATCGGGAAATTCATGGGAATGGAAAGAAAAATGTCCTGACCCCTTCCTGCCCCAGGAATCTCCCGTGCAACACCAAATCAACGAGGTTTTGGTCACATCTGCCCTGCAGAGGATGTGGCACACAGAGACAGCCCAGAAGGGACTGGGAGCAAAACCTCTCCAAACTTTCTCTCATCCTCTGCTGCACTGTCTTCCTGAGCAAAATCTGGGCATCTTTGTTTTTTTTCTTTTCTTCTGGATTATCTCCCATGAATTGCTGCGTGGAACAACCCAGGACAGACAGGAGTCTGGGGGCTCTCAGCATTTCCAGACTGTCACCGCTCCTTCATCCTTGTGCCACAAAGYCTTTCTGTTTTCTCCATTTGAAACGGGAATATCGGGCTGAAATCCATCCAGAGCTCCCGTCCCCGCCTCACCTTTGCCGGGAAAGCGGCTCCAAAACTCGCGGTGCCGCGGGCAGCCCCTGCTCCGGCTGCGCTTCCCGGAGCTCCCACGGGGATGACTCACCCAGATCGCATTGCTACGGTTCTATTTGCTYAGAGGAGGAACTGACAGGATGCTCTTGAGGAAAACTTTGTTTCCTTTCCTGTCGGAAAAACTTAATCTCTGCTGAAAGTGTAGCTGCAGGAAAACCTGGGATTTGCATCTCCTGCTCGGAGGCAGGCGGCCATCGAGGCTGCATCCGGCTGCGGGGACATTTGGAAAATGAAAAATTGCTCCAATTAAGGTTTTTCTGCTCTTCGAGATTCAAGGCCAAAAGCTTTTAAAGTCTGAAGCCAAACCAATCGCAGYCAAGTGTTTTAATGGACACAACCTGCTTTTTCTCAGACTCCCCTTCCCACACAAACCCTCTGTTTCCCTCCCTGAGGGTGAAATGTGTGTTGTCCATGCTGGGGGTCAGTATGGGAAGACCTGGGAGAGCAGGAGGTGCACAGRGTGCCCATTCTCACTCCCCAGCCCGCTGATGTAGGATTGCACCAGGACCCGACYTCAACATCCCTGTTTTACCAAGATCTGGATCAGCCCTGGATGAACCCATGCGATCCTGTTCCTCCTGCAGTGATGCTCAACAGCTCCTGCCAACCCTCCAGCACGGACCCAGTGGGAATTGGGAACCCCAGAGGCTCTGTGTGTGCAGAAATTGGGGTGCTGGGCAGTGCAGGATCAACCCCAGCTCCCCACGAGGGCTCAGGTGAGATGCCAGCAGCAGCTCCAGGCAGGATCAGCACCCGTGAAACCCCCTGAGCCCGTCACACAGGCAGAGCTGAACGCCACCATTAATAGYGCCTGGATCAGCTTTATTCATTTCTGCTACAATCAGATCCTAAACCCTTCCGGACAGCGATTCCTGAGCTGGAGCAATCCTTCCCTCCCCGGAGCGAGCGCTGGCAGCGATACCATCGGCATTAGTAATGGAGCCGGGGTACGGCTACTCCTGCTTTAGCTCTGTCAGGAGCACAGCAGCGAAATGAGGCCTTTGTGATTATTCCAGCATCCTTTTATCAGGCATTTGCAGCTCCCTAATTCCTCTAAGCCCCTCTGGCTGAGGTATCTGAGCAATCAGGTTCTCCCGGTGCTCTGAAACCACGGAGCCTCYGGAGCAGCAAACACGTGTTGGTCACGGCTGCCCACAGGACACGGTCCTGGGGACTCTCTCGTGAGGGGATGAAGCTTTGGGGCTGRGGAGGATGGTTTTGGTACCTCTGGACYGGTGCTGCTCAGCTGGGCGGGCGTTTGATGACCTGCAAACACCAGGAAGAGACGCTCTGGGTGAGAAGAGACGCTTCGGGAGCCCTTTCCCTGCCACCCCTGCCRCTCTGCTGCCTCTCCAGAGCCTGGTGCCACCATCCCAGCCCTGGGGACGGGGCTGTGTCCCGCTGGCAGCTCCCACGCACAGCCCAGGCTCGGCACCGGCGCTTCCKCCTCGGCTAAGTATAAACCGCGGGGGCTGAGGCTGGTTGGAGACATCCTCCCCGGAGCCCCGCTTCCTGCCRCCGTGTTTGCACACTCCCGGTATCCAGGCACAGCCCAGAATAGAGCTGCAGAAGAGCTGTCGTTCTGCATTAAGGTCGCTTTGTGCTCCAAAGTGTCCCGGCCCCGCCTGGCCCGTCCCGTAGGAGCGGCTGCTGTGCCCACGCTGAGCCTCGAGTGTCACCCACGGGAGCAGAGAGCCCTGCAGGGCCACCACGGAGGTTTCCATGGGTTTGGAGAAGCCTTTCCAGCGGCGAACCCGCCGGCAGAGAGCTCCTGATGGAGATAGCAGATAAACCCCTCGWGCATCTCAATAGTGTTTGTTTCCTCCGGAGCTGCTTTAGCAGATTAGATCAAGGTCAAACGTGACCATTTCTCTTCCAGCAGCTCGGGATCGATCCCTTGCACAGAGCAGGATGGATTTTGGCAGCCAGGGAGGGTCCTGCTCTGCCGGCTCTGGCCCCAGCCCAGCCTCCTTTGGGGCGGTGACCGCCCCATGGGCCTTGGAGGTGACAGAGCGGCTGCTGGAACTCAGATCTGAACCTGACCCTGCAAACATGGAAAAAACACTGCAATCCTTCCTTGAGGACAGGGATACTGGGTTCTGCTTCCCCAGATGGGCTCCAGGCAGGAATGAGTGGGCAGGGGGCTACCCTGGGGCTGTGGGGGCTATAGGGCAGCACCCATGGGGAGGGAGCAGGGTCCGGGAGGTGCTGGGTTTGGAGGCAGCGATCAATCAGGAGCTGAGACCGGCGATCAATTCTCTTTCCGGGAACGTGGAACAAGCCCTTATCGATCCCGGATGCCAGRGCCCCGTGTCCGCCCCTCCTCTGCTCCAGCCCGGCTGTGTTCCGCCCTCTCCCTTGCCTGGAATGCGCATTTGCCCTTTACAAACCGCGGCGTGTTTGGTGTCTCATTAAAGAGTCGCTTTACAGAGTGTTTTATTTCATGCTTTGTTAAGGACAGAATCGAGTAAATGCATCCTGGCAAAGGATCTAATAAGGAATTAGTCAGCTTTCTGAAAGCATAAAACACGGTTTGAAGGCACAATCCATTCAGAATTAGGGTTCACGCGACAAATGACCCCGGGATCCCGGGGTGGTGTTTTTGGGATCACAGCAGCTTTAAGGATTTGGGATCCTCGGCTGTACAGCCACCAACTGCCCATCCAGGATTTGGGATGGGAGAGGAAGAGAAGAGCCCACAAAAGCCCTGCAAAGCTTCTTAAGGAGAGAGAGCTGACAGTGGCACTGCCTTGTGGACATTTACCCAGGATCAGCCCAGAGAAGGATGGAGAGGGAAGCAGAGGCACCCAGAAACAAACAGAGGGTGTGGAAGCTCCCTCCCCCGAAGTGTGGGGACACCGAGGCACCCAACCTTCCTGGAGGGAGATTATTCAGAGCCGACACAGACCAGTGGCTACAGAATGGATGAAATGTGTGAAATGTCTCCTAAATGGCTCAGGGAATGGGTGATGGGTTTGYTGAACCACTTGCTAATTAAGGAATTAATGTTTTGGCTTGCGGAAAACAGCGGGAGGGGCCAGGAAGCCCTCGGGGAGGGATTTGCTGGTGGCTGCAGCAGAGCGCAGTGGCTTGGGACAGGCACAGCTCTGTCCCCAGCTGTCTCAGGGGGAAAGGACCAGCCCAGGCACCAGCAGGGTGTCCAAGGACTCTGCGGAACACACTGCAGGGACTGCCAGAGATTTGGCAACTCCATCCTTCAGGCTAATTCACCAGCTTTTGCCTTTCCCCGTTGTGTTTCTCATCTTTGGCTCTTGCCAGAMACTGCTTCTGCTTTCCAGAAGATGGAGCAAAGTCAGATTTCAGCGCTGCTCAGTCCCTCTGCACGGGCCGCTTGTGCCATCCCTCGGGCCCTCTGGGCAGTGTCACCCTGTGTTTCAGGATTCACATCCAAAAGCCTCTTTTTTTTTTTTTCCCCCTTTTCATTCCGGCCTTACCTTCATTATTAGAATTTGAAACACAAAACCATCGAGTTAATTGTAACCCCAGAACTGAGCTTTCGTTGAAGGCACCCCGTACTAGCGAGATTTGTCTGGAACTTGCTTGGCAAGGAGGAATTGGATTGCTGCTGCATCCCCCATCCCATGGAGAGCCGCTACCGTGGTGGACACAGGTCCTGGCTGTCACCATGAGCCCGTCACGGCATCTCGAGCTGATTTAGGGATCAGTCAGTGCCTTGGGGTGCAGCCACAAAGGGAAGCACTCGGCAGCAGTGGGGCTGGGGGCTTGCAGACCCCCCAAACCCACACAGGGACAGGGACCCTGCATTCCGGGGGCTCCAAACCCTCCCGGGGGAGGTGARGGGGCTGGAATTACAGTCTTTAAGTACCGTGCATTAAGAGCTTTCCCTGGCAACTGCTGTTTCCATGGAAAGCGTTGACTCTCRGAGCTCCTTGCGGCGTCTCATGGAGCTCACGGCGAATTCCAGCCCGTGGATCACAGCCCGGTCACCCCACGSTGGTGGATAAATCTGTATTTATGCAGTCACCCCTTGGCCAGAGCGGTGCCGGGCGGCTTTGGTGACTCGATTTCCCTTGCCATCCCCGTTCCCAGCTCGGTGCCTGAGCGGGCTCTGCCGGGGCGGGTGTGTTGTGCTGTGGGGGCCGCTCGTTCCTTCTTTGGGAAGTTGTGGGTGTTCCTTCAGCCACAGCSCTTCGGGGGGCTGATTTCACATCCTCAGCACAGCTCCAATCTCACCCGAGTCCCACTTTTCCCTGTTTTTTTTTTGCAGACAGCGAACCGGGGGCAGCGCCGGTGCCGTCCAGCGCGGAGCCTCTCGCCGAGGATGAACCGGTGGAGAAGACGGGCCCGGCAGAGCTGGGGCACGGCACCGCTTTGACTGGTGGAGATGAGGATTTTGGGYACGGGGCCAAGGGTCCAGACCCCGGAACCGGAGAGCTCGGGCGGGGAACTGCCCTCAACCTGCTGCCGGCCCCGGAGATCGGCGCCGCGCCCGCGGTGGAGCCCACGCGGGTGTTGCAGAGCCGCGTCCTGCCCGCGGCCACCGCTRCCCCCAGAGCTGATGCCAAACAAACTGCCCCCGTTAAGAAAAAGCCACCGGCTCTAAAACAAGCAAACACGGGCAGGAAACACCCGAGGCTGAAGCCCACCCTGGCAGGGCCCCCGGGGGCTGCGCCCCCAGCCAGCCCACGGAGCCCCAGGCTCCCCACGGCCGCCCCAGAGCTGCGAGCGCCAGCGGAGGACACGGAGCGGAGCCCCCCCGAGCTGCCCTGGGGGGAGCAGGCCACCACCAGCCGCCCCACGCTGCAGATCTCCCCTTCCACGCTGCCTCCAGCCCTGTCCCGATCCTTCCCTGGCAGTGTGGATGATGTGGATGCCGGAGAGGCTCCGACCGCGGCTCCCGCCGGCGCCGCCGTTATCCCGACAAACGGAGCGGACAGGGACGCGCACGGCTCGGCGTCGGAYGAGAGCCAGGAGACCACCACGTCCACCATCATCACCACCACCGTCACGACCACGGAGCCCACCCCGGGTGAGCCGAGCACCGGCACGGGGTGGGGAGCACGTCTGTGSTTGGGCAGCCCCCGAAAACCAGGGGGTTAGGGGCTGCCAAAAMCCTTCTGGTCTCCGTGCTCTTTATGGCTGGAGGGATAAAACACTTCACCAATGAGGARAGGCTGGGAGAGCTGGGGGAAGGCTCCCGGGAGCCCCTTCCAGGGTCAAAAGGGGCTTCAGGAGAGCTGGAGAGGGACTGGGGACAAGGGATGGACGCACAGGACAAGGGGGAGTGGCTGCCCACTGGCAGAGGACAGGGATAGATGGGATATTGGGAAGAAATCCTTCCCTGTGAGGGCGGGGAGGCCCTGGTTCAGGTTGCCCAGAGAAGCTGTGGCTGCCCCTGGATCCCTGGAAGTGTCTGAGGCCAGGCTGGACGGGGTTTGGAGCAGCCTGAGACAGTGGAAGGTGTCCCTGCCTATGGCAGGGGTGAAAAAAAATGACCTTTAATGTCCCTTCCAACCCAAATCACCCCAGRATTCTGATTCCATGGGGTCACCGATGGAGCAGGGAGCAGGGTGCYGCGTTTTGGGGTGTGGCAGGGAGGTGCCAGGTGGCTGTCCCTTGGTGTGACCCCGCTGTGTGTCCCTGTCCCTCCAGTGCTCTGCAGCATGAGCTTCCACGAGCCCGAGGGCTACATCGACTCCACGGATTATCCCCCRCTGCCCCTGCACGGGTACCTGCAGTGCACCTACAACGTCACCGTCTACACCGGCTAYGGCGTCGAGCTCCAGGTGAGCAGTGCCTCGGGGGGATCCCCAAAGCCAGACCCCCCTGGTCACCACAGCAGATGATGCCAAGCACCCACAGCCTCGGGYACTCTGCCCCAGGCAGGTGCATTCGGTAAATTATCCCTTTCCAGGGGAAAAAAAAAATAGGTTTTTCTGAGGCCTGATAATAAATGAACTCAGTGAGGGAGCTGKAACATCCTGAATGTCAGCGATGATCAAACCCTTTAAATGTCACGCGATTAATTTAACTGAGAGGCACTGGCGGCAGGTTGTAAAAAAGGCTCTTGATGGGGAGGGGCCACCAGCCCCCGCCCTCTGCACCCTCTGGGAGGGGTTTGGGTGGCCCTGAGGATGCAGGAAGCCCAGAAGGGCAGCCCAGGTTCCCTCTCTGGCAGGTGCAAGTGCTCAGCAAACTCCCACCCATCAGAGCAGGGGTCTCAGCCAGGCTGGTGTGTGCCATCTCCCCAAAATGAGCATCCCTCAGCCCAGCGAGGCTGTGAGGAGGGCAGACACCCCCTCTGCACATTCCAAAAGCTCTCTGAGCCAAACCAGCCCAGGGCCTCCATGCTCCCTGCAATCCTGCAATTGTGTTTTCTCCGTGTCAACATTTGCATCCAATTAAAATCCCTTCGCTTTGAATGTGTGCAATTAAATTAAGTTAAAAGGAGCAGGAATTCCAGCAGGGTTGTCCCCGCTGTCCCACTGGTAGGCACAGGTCCCCAGGGCACCGTGGCTGCCAGTCCTGGTGGGGAGGTTGCCCTGGGAGCTGCAGCGGTGCAGGTTGAGCTCTGGGGTGTCTGAGCAGCTCAATCACTTTTCCGTGGCAGTGTCAAAGCAGCTGGACACAGCGACTGTCTCCCCAGATCCACAGGGTGCTAAAGACAGGCTGCTGTGCTGTAAATTCGCCTCTGTCCATAATCCATCAGGTGACACCGCTCCTGACCTCGCTCCGTTGCGAGCTGAGGTTTTAATGGAGCATAAAATTGGCCTCTCCAACCCCCCCAAGCTTTGCATTTCGCTTTGCTGATGCTTCGGAGCGTTTCAGACAAATTAAATCACAACAGCAGGTCCGTGCTGGTGGAGCACGGCCCCAGCTGCAGATGGCAGTGCCCTGTGCTGCAGCACCTCTCGGGGCTCAGGGGTGAATTCCAAAGGGAAGGCGCTGGATAGCCTGGAATGGGGGTATGGGGTCCCATCAGAGGGGTTGGGATTTGAATCCCAGCTCCTGTAGTGGGGAGGTGCTGCCTTGTACCCCCAAATCTCCTTCAAGGCATCTGCAGGAGTGAGAGGAACCCCTGGGACAGGACAGTCACAGCTCACTGAAGGGTTTGGGGACAGCCTGGTGGTGGCAGAAATGCCCGTGGCATTCCAGCCCTGCCCAAAATTCCTCCTGGACAAGCACTGGGACCCTCCACTTCCTTTGGAGCCAGACCCTCCCTCACTGCAGGGASAATCTGCCTTTGGGGAGGAGCGGACACAAAGCCTGGGTGTCAGGCATGGTCCTGGGACAGGCTGGGAGCTGGGTGAGAGTTCGGGGTCCCTGCTCACCTCACTGATTCCCCTGCACCCCTACAGATTCCAGGCAGAGCCGAGTCCCCTCCTGTGCCACGGCAGCCCCGGGAGCCACGAGCAGCCAGCTCTCTGAAAACACTTCGTGAAATTATATTTATTTTTAAAATTCTTGAATCTTCTTGGCAGGGAACAGAATTTCCCTAAAGAGGTTTTTCCAGTGGGTGAGCGGGGCTGGCAGCCCGACTCGAGGATCCCTCCTGCCTTCCCGAAGGCTCTGCAGGAGCTGCCGTCGGTGCAGGCTGCGATGGGAGCCCGTGCTCCCAGCCCTGGCAGCAGCTCGCACATATGGTCCCTCTCACGGGGCTGACGGTGCTTGGCGCGGGGCCACGGCAGTGTCTGCGCTCGCTGGTTCCTCCGGGCTCCTCTGGGAATGCCAGCCCGGTGCTGGCACAGCGAGTGGCACTTGTGGTGACACCCCGGTGACACCCTGCTCCGGGCTGCTGGCTCTCCCGAGGGTGGAGCCCTGTGTGCGTCCTGTGACACCAAACCCTGYTTTCCCCCGTTCCACAGAGCTCCAGCTGCTCCCCTGAACCCTCTTCCCAATTTCCCCGAGGGATTTGGCTCCATGTCAGGTGCGTGGTGCCACCGTCACTGCTGGGGAGCAGCTGTGGCTTCGAGGGATCGCAGAGCAAAATGTGCTTGGAACAGCCTGGAAACATCTTTGCAGGGATCCAGACCCAGCTGGGGAAGCAAAGCTCTGTCACAGTGGGAGCTGGGGGCGTTTTATGGACCCCCACTTAGATCCACGGATCCCACACTCCAAATAATTCATCCAAATAGCACCTAATTCATCCCATTAATTAATAATTAAATCGGAGCCATCCCCACCAGCCGCAGCATGTGCTGGCCAAGCTGGGGAGGCGCATTTTTCAGACAACATCTGGAAAAAAARAAATTACTCAGGACAGGTCGGGGGCCTGATTTGCACCTGGTCTATGTTCCTGTCCATGTTTTCCTTGACAGGACCCAGCACCCTGCTGCAAAACAAGGCAAAACCAGCTCCTCTTGGGTTGAAGCACGGGCTGGGGTGAGCCCAGGCACATCCCGAACCAGCCTGGGGATGTTAATCCCGCCTTGCAGTGAGGAACAGGCTTTCCCAGGGATTTTCCCTCGGGAGCAGGCTGAGGATGCCGAGAGCTGGGGGTGGCTCCACGCAGTGTCCTTGGAGCCGGGCACATCCCGGCCCTGTGTGCYAGGGGGAGGTGGGCACGCTGGTGACAGCAGCCACAAATCGCTGCAGTCACAACATTGTCGGGAGCGCTCCCAATCACGGCTGGGCTGGTGCTAAATATAGAGCCCGGGGCYTCGCACACTCAGGCAAACAAACGGTCTGATGAGCATCTTTCTGCTGAAATATGAGCCCATTTATTAAGCTAAATGGACGTGAAATGTAAATGCGAGGTTACTGCTCAGCTATTTCCAAATAATAATTAAAGCCTTTTTGGAAGTGCTCATTAGATGCACTTGCTGCGTGTGGCTCCCCATCCGCTCTCCAGTGGGGTGAGGGATCCTGGGGGGGATTCCTGGTGCTCCAAACCCTGAGGAGTGCCCTGGTTTKGTTGTGGAGCTGTGCTGGGCAGCTCAGCCTCGAGATGCAGCTCTGCTGCCGGGGTGGAGCTGGGGATGGTGCCCTTCCATCCTCCTCTTCCTCACCTCCCCACCTGTGCAAATCCTCGGCTTTAGGAGGGTGATTTGGGTCTATTTGTGCTGCTCAGGAGTATTCAGCTTGGAAGTGYATCTCTAGATGTCCTGGGGAGGGAGAAGGAGTCCCTCAGGCTCATGAGGGGCTCAGGCTGCTCCATCAGCAGCGAGGGCCAGCAGCTCCTGCCTGCAGCTGGAGCGGTGCCGAGGGAGRGTGCGATGCTCTGCGGTTCTATGTGACAAGGCTGGGTGTCCCCGCTCATCCAGAGCCCTGCTGGGACCCCCACCCTGCCCCTACAGCTCACAGGTCTCTGCTGGCCCCGCAGGTGAAGAGCGTGAACCTGTCGGAYGGCGAGGTGCTGTCCATCCGCGGCGTGGACGGCGATGCCCTGGTGGTCCTGGCCAACCAGACGCTGCTGGTGGAGGGCCAGGTGATCCGCAGCCCCACCAACACCATCTCCGTCTACTTCCGCACCTTCCAGGACGACGTGGTGGGGACATTCCAGCTCCACTACCAGGGTGGGTGTGTCTCTGATGGGGCTAGAGGGCTTTGGGGTCGGTCCCAAAAACCCCAGAGGGTTCAATGTGCCCCGATGTCCCCAACCCCAGTGCTGGCTGCGCTTCTCACACCCGCCTTGCCCCGTTTCTGTCCCCGAGCAGCAGCTCCTCCTGCAYACACTCACACTGCCGGTCTATTTTTTACCTCCAAGAGCTGTAAAAAATAAATGAGTCCCAGCAAATTATTTTTAAAATAGAAACTGGGTCTGGGCAAGAGCAGTAACAGGTGGGGGGTTGGTGGTGCTCTGCCGCTGGCAGCCGGCACCCGGGGCTGGGTGACATGTGGGCACACCCAGCACGTCCCCACGGGGTGGCTGCTGAGCCCTGAGCTCCCAAATGTGCTCGTTCCAGTGTTTATGCTGAGCTGCAACTTCCCCCGGAGGCCTGACTTYGGAGAGGTGACGGTGATGGATCTGCACTCGGGTGGTGTTGCTCACTTCCACTGCCACCTGGGCTACGAGCTGCAGGGCCCCCGCATGCTGACCTGCATCAACGCCTCCCGGCCCCACTGGAGCAGCCCCGAGCCCATCTGCTCAGGTACCTGCACATCTCAGCCCTGGGACTGTGGAAAACTGGGCTCTGATGAGGAAAACAAATCCCTTTCTGTGCCCCACGTGTTGAGCGTGGTCCTGGGAGAGGGTGAGAGYGATGCTCAGCACACACAGAGCACAGCCTGAGGTGCCACAGGCAGTGACAGCAGAATCTGTCCCCTTATTAGGCAGCTGAGTGAGAGGAAATTAAGATTTTATGTGTGTGARTATATATATATAAATATGTATTTGTGCATATAAATATGTACAGAGCAAAGCCGAGCCAGGCAAGAGGTTTGTGCACTGCGGACTCTGAGGAGACCCGGGCAGAGGGGCTCAGCCTTGAGCTGGGGGACACAAATGCCACCTGTGTCTCCGTGCTGATCCCAGCGGTGCCACGCTCTGGGTTGCAGCTCCGTGTGGAGGGACAATCCACAACGCCACCATCGGCCGCGTGCTGTCCCCCAGCTACAGCGGGAACCACTCGGGCAGCATGTACTGCGTGTGGGCCATCGGGGCACCCCCGGGCCAGAAGCTGCACCTGCACTTCGAGAAGCTCCTGCTGACCGAGAAGGACAGGTGAGGCTGAGGGAGCCTTTTGCTGGGTGCTAAATACACAAAAATGGAATTATTKRGGTTGAAAAAGCCCYCTAAKGTMATTGAGTTCTGCTGTCYCCCAGCACTGCCAAGCCCACCACTAAACCATGTCTCCAAGTGCCCCATTTACACGGCTGATAAAACCCTCCAGGGATGGGAACTCCATCACTGCCCCAGACAGCTGTTCCAATGCTTGACAGCCCTTTTGGGAAGGAATTTTCCCTGATATCCAGTCTAAACCTTGCCTGACACAAGGCACTTCCTCTCATCCTGTCCCTGTTCCCTGGGAGCAGAGCCTGACAACCCCCGGCTGTCTCCTCCTGTCAGGGAATTGTGCAGAGCCCCAAGGTCACCTCTGAGCCTCCTTTTCTCCAGCCTGAGCCCCTTTCCCAGCTCCCTCAGCTGCTCCTGGTGCTCCAGACCCTTCCCCAGCTCCATTCCCTTCCCTGGACACGCTCCATCCCCTCCATGTCTGTCTTGGAGAGAAAAATATTCCCCAGAATATACCAAAATTTGGAAGCTCCCATCTGGTCCCATCTGCTCCACCTCACCATCCTTGTGTCCGGGTGGGACACGGGGACACTGTCCCGTGTGACACTGTCCCGTGTGACACTGTCCCGTGTGACATTGCTCGCTGCCCCGCAGGATGGTGGTGTACAGCGGGGACACCAACCGCTCCGCCGTGCTCTACGACTCTCTGCGCGCCGACAGCGTCCCCTTCGAGGGCGTCATCAGCGACGGCTCCTCCATCAGGATCGACTTCCTCGCCGAGGAGCCCGCGGCTGCCACRGCCTTCAACATCCGCTTCGAAGGTGCTGTGTCCCCGTGCCGAGGGCAGTGCCCGGCTCAKCCAGGATGCCCGGGCAGCTACGGACAGGTGGCTGCAGGAAGGGCAGTCCCGGTGCCCCTCTGTAGCTCCCGTTGTCATTTAAATGWCATTTAAATGATCCCACTKCAGGATCATTCCCACTTGGCRTTCCCCAGTTTGGGAAACASTGCCCWGCAGTGCCCTGAGCACATCCCTGGWGCTGATYCACCACGGGAGYGGGGTTTGGTTAGGCTGGCATGGCTCAGAGCAGATAAATTATTGTTATCCTAATTGCCTGTAAAACATTTCATGGAGGGGGGCCACCCATGCTGTGAGGGATGCAGGGGGGATTCAGGTGGGAATGCAAGGGGGATGCAGGGGGGGATGCAGGGGTGGATTTAGCAGTCAGGTTCTCGTGGGAATGATCCTGCAGCACATCCCAGGATCACCCAGGGACACTCCGGAGCAGGGAGAAGCTCCGTGTCCCCACAGCTCACAGGTTTCTCCTCCAGCCTTCGAGCGGGGCCACTGCTATGAGCCCTACATCCAGAACGGGAACTTCACCACCTCGGACCCCACCTACAACCTGGGCACCACCGTGGAGTTCACCTGYGACCCCGGGCACTCCCTGGAGCAGGGTCCCGCTGTCATCGAGTGCATCAACATGCGGGACCCCTACTGGAACGACACGGAGCCGCTGTGCCGAGGTCAGTCCTGTCCCTGGGCAATGCTGGGTGTGGGGTGAGCACCCCGGGGCCCCTGCTGAGCTCTGCCCACCCTTTGTCCCCACAGCCACGTGTGGGGGAGAGCTGACCGCCGTGGCCGGGGTGATCCTGTCCCCCAACTGGCCGGAGCCCTACACGGAGGGGGAGGATTGCATCTGGAGGATCCAYGTGGGCGAGGAGAAGCGGCTCTTCCTGGACATCCAGCTGTGAGTAGCTCAGGAGCTTCGTGTCTGTCTCTGACCCAGCAGTGCTCACCTCATTTCGCTGGGATATCCTGCTCYCCTCGCCCCAGGGATCTGTGCCATTGTGGAATCCAAAAATCTTGGAATGACTTGGGTTGGAGGGACCTTAAASCTCATCTCCCACGGGCAGGGACACCTTCCACTGTCCCAGGYTGCTCCAAGCCCTGTCTAACCTGGCCTTGGACACTTCCAGGATGCAGCAGCCACAGYTTCTCTGGGCAAACTYTGMCAGGGCYTCCYCACTCYSRCAGGGAAGAGCTTTGCCGTGTCCTGTTCTTCCCCTCAGTGCTTCCATAATCCCCTTTGATGCACTTGGCACCCTGGGCAGGACTGAGTGGTGCTCCCTGAGTTCAAAGCATCATTCCACCACCCATCCCAGCAGTTAATTGCTGCTCCAGTGGCTTCAGAACTCGCCATAGAGAATGGTGCCACAGCAGCACGTGGCCATGTGCTACTTGGGGTGACAGGCAGCACGTTGGGAACCGGGTCATGCAGGGTTAGGAGAGCCTGGGGGCATCCATGAGATGGAAACAGCTCAGTCTTTGGGCTGAATACGAAATACAGGCACTGAGGGAGCGGAGCCACCCAGCAAGGCCAGGCTGAACACGCCWGGGTCAGAGGGGAATGGGATCCAATGCCAGATTGGGAGCCCTTGGCATGGTAATGCTGCTCCTGCTGCTGCAGCAGGAGCCTCCTTTGATGCTATTTTGGGTTTTCAAGAGGAGGACGTGTTTCAAGTAGAGGCTTAGAGTCATAAAGATTTAAAGCTCCCCATAAAATCCCAAGTTGGAGCTCCCAGCACACCTCTCCCAGCTCTGTGGGTGCTTGGGCTGAGCAGAACYGGAGGCCAAGAGATTTGAAGTCATCAGGCATAAATGTCACCRCGAAAATCGTGTTTGACAGAAAGCAGAGATTTACTAGAAATGTCAGCTTGCCATGGGGATTAGCTGGGCTCCCTCCAAGAACATTCCTAATGAAACGTTTGGGGATCAGCTCAGGCATCTCCTGTGAGGCCAGGAGCATCCTGGTGCTCCTCTCTGACCCTCTTCCCACGGCGGGAGGGGAGGAGGGTTGTCCCAGCGCCAGTCTCTCCTGTGTCACCCGGCACCAGAGCCATGTGTCACCCAGCACCAGAGCCATGTGTCTCCCGGTGTGTGCATCCATCCCCTGCCCTTGGCCCTGGAGCGGGGGACAGGAGCGAGAGTCCCCATCCCCTTCCACTCCAGGGCAGCCGCATCCCCGGSGTGGATGGAGGCTGCAGCCGTCCCTGCCCGGTGTTCCCGGCTGTCCCCGCCATCCGCGGGCCGCCACTGCGCTCTGGTGGCCGCGGGGACAAGYGCGGCACCGCCGGGACCGGCATTTCTAAGAGCGGGGTCCCGGGAGCTGCCGGCACCGCCCGGCCTCGAGTCCTTCCGGAGGGAGGTGACCCGGAGGAGGTGACCCGCAGGGAGGTGACCCGCAGGGAGGTGACCCAGAGGGAGGTGACCCGGAGGAGGTGACCCGGAGGGAGGTGACCCGGAGGGAGGTGACCCGCAGGGAGGTCACCCGGAGGAGGTGACCCTGAGAGAGGTGACCCACAGGGAGGTCACCTGGCTGTCCCTCGAGCCCCACGCTGCTGTGTCCTGCCCGGGCTCCCAGCACACTCTCTGATCAACCTCTCCTCTCAGCCTGAACATCACCAACAGCGACATCCTCACCATCTATGACGGGGACGAGCTCTCCGCCCGCATCCTGGGCCAGTACATCGGCAGCAGCGGCCCCCAGAAGCTCTACTCGTCCAGCCCCGACCTCACCATCCAGTTCCACTCGGACCCTGCYGGGCTCATCTTTGGGAAAGGGCAAGGGTTCATCATGAACTACATAGGTATGGGGAGCGGGGTGCTGGGGTGAGGATGTGGCACACAGCCAGCCCAGGCTGGCCCGGCRCTGGGTTTGGAAGCAGAGAGAATCCCTGTGGTTCCAGGACTCCCTTCACATCCCACCCAGCTCCTGCAGATCCCCCAGCCCAGCTGCAGGTCTCGGGTCAGCCGCTTTTGGGGTGGCCCTGTATGTCTCCCCTCCTTCAGGCTGGCATTTTCCCTTCCTCTTAACCCCTGTCTGGCCCAGAGGAAAATAATTGCTGGAAACAGGGATGCAGGATCCCCACACACACCCTGTCAGGCATGAGCTGATGGCAGGGGTGGTCACTGAAGCCAATTCCTGGGTGAGATGGATGCTCCCAGCTCTTTGCTCCAAACTGCACCTGGAGATGTCYGTTCCATCCTCCTTCGGGGCAGCTGTGTCTGCCAGGCTGGGGCTGTGGGTGCCAACGGCAGGGACAAGGACCAGGAAGGGCATTCCTTCCCCTCAGCATCCTGTGGGCTCTGGCTGCCTCTCCTTCCCCKGCCAGGCTCCTTCCAGGCGTGTTTTCCTCGCACTGCTGCTGACAGCCCTGGCTACGACAGACAGAGCGAGCTGCAATGCAGAGCCCCTGGGAGGCTGCAGGGCCCTTCTCAGCACTCTGCAGAACTCTGGGCTGGAGGGAGCAGGGCACAACCCCTCACCTGGGCAAACAAGCCCGGGAAGAGCAAGGAACAAACCCCCCCTGAGCAACCGAGCTGTGCTGTGACCGCGGTGCTGGCACTTGTCCTGCTCCTCAGCCCGGTGTTCCCAGGTTGTCCTGACCCCAGCACAGACACAGCTCTGTTTTCACCAGCCCAGCCCTCTGCCTGCCTGTAGGGTCAGGGCTGGGAAGGCTTCAAAGGGTCTCTGTGCCCTACTGCTGCCCTTTCCCCATGTCCAGGGGATACTGCTTTGTGGAGCATGGGGCTGGACAGCTGTGGGGAGGGACAGGCTCWTGGGGAGAGCCGTGTGTCCAGCAGTGGGGGCTCTGAGGATGGCTGTGCTCGGTGGGTGACAGCCACAATCCCTCTTGGCTGCAGAGGTGTCCCGCAACGACTCCTGCTCYGATCTGCCCGAGATCCAGAACGGCTGGAAGACAACATCACACACAGAGCTGGTGAGAGGGGCCAAGATCACCTACCAGTGTGACCCGGGCTACGACATCGTGGGCAGCGACACCCTCACCTGCCAGTGGGACCTCAGCTGGAGCAGCGACCCCCCCTTCTGTGAAAAGAGTAAGTGCCGCAGCAGGACGGTGCTGCTGTCCCCATCCCATATCCTAGAACAGTGTGTGTCCCGCTGCTGTGCCAGGCTCCCTGCTCCCATGGGCTGTGCTCCAAGGGGCTCCCTGCTCTGATGGGGTCCCTGCTCCGATGGGGCTCCCTGCTCCAAGGGGCTCCTGCTCCAAGGGGCTCTCTGCTCCGAGGGGCTCTTGCTCCAAGGGGCTCCCTGTTCTGAGAAGCTCCTGCTCCGAGGGGCTCCCTGCTCCAAGTGGCTCCCACTCCAAGGGGCTCCCTGCTTCAAGGGGCTCCCTGCTCCGAGGGGCTCCCTGCTCTAAGGGGCTCCCTGCTCTGATGGGCTCCCCGCTCCGAGGGCTCCTGCTCCAAGGAGCTCCCCTCTTAGCCATCCTCTCTCCCCAGTTATGTACTGCACGGACCCGGGYGAGGTGGAGCACTCCACCCGCCTCATCTCGGACCCGGTGCTGCTGGTGGGCACCACCATCCAGTACACCTGCAACCCTGGTTTCGTGCTGGAGGGCAGCTCCCTGCTCACCTGCTACAGCCGCGAAACCGGCACCCCCATCTGGACCTCGCGGCTCCCGCACTGCGTCTGTAAGTCCTGGCGGTCTCTCGTGCTCCTGTGCAGTTCAGCTCCTCTCTGGGGGTCCTGGGCAGCTCTTTTCTGGGGGTGCAGAACCTTGGGCTACCTGGAAGCAGGGTGGGGCAAGAGATTGGGTGCTTGCTCACTGCCCCCAGGCTCCTTCTCTCCTTCAGCAGCCCAAGCCCTGGGCTCTCACCCTGGATGTATTCCATTCCCTTTCAGCTGAGGAGTCGCTGGCCTGTGACAATCCAGGGCTGCCAGAAAAYGGGTACCAAATTCTTTACAAGCGCCTCTACCTGCCAGGAGAGTCCCTGACCTTCATGTGCTATGAAGGCTTTGAGCTCATGGGRGAGGTGACCATCAAATGCATCCTGGGCCAGCCATCCCACTGGAGCGGCCCCCTGCCCATCTGCAAAGGTAACAGGGAAGGGGATGGGGGCAAGGGACAGCCAACAACTCTGTCCCCAACCTGGGACAGCCCRGGGACCTTGGTCTGGCTGCAGACCCCTGCTGGGAGCTGAACTCAGCTGAGACCTAGAACTTCTCTGGATCTGGGCTCTGCTCAGCCCAGGTCTGGCCACATGTTTACAAACACCAAGAGCTTATTAAAAACAGGGAGTTCACAGCGTRGTTTGGGACTAAATGGGGCAGGAGATTCCTGGTTTGGGTTCCCCAGCAGGCAACAGCTGCCAGCACCCACTCAAAACCCGGCTCCAGACCAGTAACTCTCCATCTCTCTTGCAGTGAACCAGGACAGCTTTGAACACGCTCTGGAAGGTGAGTGACGTGGGTTTCCTGGATTTGCAGGATCCTGGTGCAGCCTGGGAGGAGGGGGAGAGGCACAGAGGGGATCACACGGTGCCTGCAAATGCCAACATAATAGATCTTGTCCTTCCAGTAGCAGAAGCTGCTGCAGAGACATCGCTCGAGGGGGGAAATATGGCCTTGGCCATCTTCATCCCGGTGCTGATCATCTCCCTGCTGCTGGGAGGAGCGTACATCTATCTCACCAGGTGGGGCTGGCACAGAGCCGGGGGGCACAGCCAGGGCTGCCCCAGCATCGCCCTCACCAGCCACACACCCCGGGCATGGTGCTGGGAGTGCCCTGGAGTGCCCRGGGTGCTGGAGGAGCTGCGATGGGGGATGTGAGAGATGGGGCTGTTCCCGAATCAGCCCGTGCTGCCCGTGACCCGGCCTCTCCCCGCAGGTGTCGGTACTACTCCAGCCTCCGCCTGCCCCTCATGTACTCCCACCCCTACAGCCAGATCACGGTAGAAACGGAGTTTGACAACCCGATCTATGAGACAGGGGTGAGTCCTGCTGGGCCTGTCCTTGCTGGGGACGCTCCTGAGGGGCTYGGCTGGGTGGGGATGAATCCAGCCAGGCTGCTGAGGGAGCATGGAGCAGTGGGGCACGGGTCCGTGTGGGGCGGGAGGCACAGGGGGCTGCGGGGTCCTGGCTGCGAGGGCATYGCTCCCCTGGGAGCAAAACAACACCCAGGATCTCTCCTGCTGGCTGGGAATGGGGAGATGATCCTGAAATGCAGCTGCTGCCCTCAACTGGCTTCTCCTTGCTCGCAGGAAACACGAGAATACGAGGTTTCGATATAAGGACAGCGGTAAGAGAGTCTCCAGCAGCGAACTTAATGTGCTCTCATAGAACTTCCTCAGTAACTAATCCAGAGACCACGTGGAGTTTGGTTGGACCCCCGGACCTGCTGTTGTCTTTCCTTTTGCCTCTCTATTGAAGATTTTACTGTTTTCTTCACTGTATTTATTCTATTTAAACTGCGATAGGTGTGCTGCCCAGCCCTGGGCACAGGCAGCAGCGGGAGCCGGGGCAGAGCTGGGTCCTGGTGAGGCCAGGGGGGCACGGGGGGCACTGCTGTGTCCCCCCTCCATGACAGAGCGTCCCCCTCCATGGCGGAGCGTCCCCCGGCACTGCCCACACAGCCGCAGGGGGATTTTTGCGGTTCTGATGTTGTTAAAAATTAAAAGATGTCTCCATTGCAAGAGCCTGCGGTTGATTGCTGGGAGCTGAGGTAGCGCAGGGTGCCCCGCAGGGTCCCACCCCGCAGCTCCCGGCTCTCCCAGTGGGTTCCTCCCCCGGGGGGCTCGGGGGGCACCGGCGCAGGGACTGTCCTCGCTGCAGGGCTCGGGACAGCCTGGCACACGCGAGGGGCGTGCTGCTTTCTCCTGCTTCGCTTTGGATGTGGAGAGGCGGCGCGCCAGCACTCCGGGGCGATGTTCTGTGGAGAAGCACCARCCAGTGTCACCAGTGTCRCCCAGCCGCCAGCCCAGCACAGCTGGGAGCCCTGGAAGCCGCCCTGGAGCGAGCAGAGCTCCCAACCGGTGTTTCTCTGCTCTGTGCCCGATGTTCCTCTCCAGCAGCACTTGCCGTCACCCTGCCAGAACTGCCCGATCCGGCACGGCCGGAGCTCGCCCTTTGCCCCCCGGCAGCATCTCAGGGTAAGCAGGATGGGCTGCACAGCCCACCCCGCACCTCCCGGGGTTCCACAGCCGGGCAGGGGGTGAAGGGGAAGCTGTTCGGAAGGAAAGGCAGGCGGGATGTGCAAACACGGGAGCTTCAGGACAGGCAGAAATCAGCCCCTCAGTTCCACCCCTGCGCTCCTTCACCCCTGCCACAGCCACACAGTGGTGACACAGACCCCAAAAGGCCACCCCGACCACATGTCCCACCCCCAGCCAGCCCTTGGGGAGGGCAGCGAAGCCACAGCCCCGTCYTTGGCTGCTGGTGTCCTTCTTTTGTCCTTGTAGAACGATCGCAAGCACGGGAGGCTGGGTGAGCTTGAGGTGGTTGGTGCAGCTCTGCCGTGTACAGCTGGGATTTAGGGGTTTTCCTTTCAAAACAACGAATGTGTGTTTGTAATTTGTAACGGTTGAAAAAGAAAAAAAAAAGAGAAAAAAAAAAAAAAAGGAGAAAAAAAAATGTGCCAAAAATGTACGAAGCATTTCATTTCCCTTCATACATGTCTGTTTTTATAAGAACAATGTGAAAATTGCTGGGATTAAATATTTTTGAACATGATAAAGTAGTTCCGTGGGAAGCTCTAGTGTTCGGTATAACCTCGATGCCGATTGTTCTTTATTTTTAAATGTCTGAAATCAGTTTACAGAGACTCTGGCTGCGGGCTGCAGTGGTGCAGGGCAGGGTGAAGGCCAGGCATGTCACATGCCCTGCTGTGGGATGGTGGCCCGATRCCACCGGCTTGGCTCTGASTGCCAGATCTTGTCCTGMTCCCRTGGGATGGAGGCACCTGAGCCCTGCTGCGACATGAGGTGACCTGGCACGGCCCTGCGGACATCTCCCTTTAGTGGATCTCTCCTCAGGAGCCAGATCTGGCTCCCCCTGCACCCTCTGGACTCAGAATTGCCCTTTGCCATGCCAGCCCAGCCCAGTGATGTCTCACAGAGTGAGTGGGGGTCTGGGTGCTGCCCCGAGGCACTGGAACCCCCCTGGAGACCCTTGGCGGTGTCACAGAGGACATGCAGAAATTTTGGGGAGCCCTGGTAGCCCAACCCCAGCGGGCAGAGGGTATGCAGGGATCCATCCTGCCTGTGCCCTGCTCACCCATCAACCTGTGGCTGTCACTTGGCAACTCCTGTGGGAGCTGGGGCAGGGCAGCTCCCCAAAAACACAGGGAGAGCATGGGGGGACAAGAGGAGGCTGCCTCACCTGCCCCCTGTATGTTCCACACTCTGCATCCCACACAGACCAGGCAGGCACAGCTTGGGAAGATCCCGGGGGCTGAGTGGGAAAACTCCTCCCCTGCTCCCTGGAAGGCTCTCGGGGCTGAGCTGCTCCGGTGGGGTCAGAAACGAGCCCCTAGAAGGTTTCCCTCCAGCATTAGGTGTGGGCAGAGCAAGGTCCCGCGGGGGGACTGCGGGACGCCCTGAGAATGCGACACGGCTGACAGCTGGTGGCAGGATGGTGACTGTCACCTCCCAAGGAGCAGGGCCACCGGGACATCCCAGCTCAAACATCATTCCCTGACGCCAGCAGAGTCCCAGGTGCCCCGGCAGCGGGCAGGGAGGGGGATGCTCAGCCCACCCCACACCCTGGAAATGCCCGGCCCAGAAAATCTGGAACCTCCCATCTGTCCCTGCCCCTCCACACCCCAAAAAAATACAACACTGCCCTCCCCAAACGTGCTTTTAACCAAGGTTACGCTGTGACATCGATAATGGCTTTGCTCAGCAGCTGCCAGGCTAATGCACAGGGGGCGAGGGAGCCAAAGCTCTGATGCAGAGCATTCCTGGGGGAGGGAGCTTGGGTTATTTTTGGACAGAGATTGCAAGAGAATTAAAACGAAGAGAAAGAAAAAAAAAAAAAAAAAAGCCCTTGATGCTGCCGTTCCTCCTCGGTGACGTAAAGCCGGAGCCAATCTCTGGCCTCACGCGTTGTGCTGCGGATGGAGCTTTGTCTGGGCCCAGCAGCCTCGGCCACAGCGTCCTCCCCCTGCCTGGGGCCGGGCAGGGGGCACAATGTGGCCGTGCTGTGGTTGTCACACGGCTGAGGGACCCTTGAGGTCGGGGATGGAGCAGCAGGAACACCTTGATTTCTTTCCAGCTGCATTGCAAGATGGTGAGGAGCAGCATCCCTGCTCAGCCCAGGACAGATACAGCATCCCTGCCCAGCCCAGGTCAGACACAGCATCTCCGCCCGAGTCGGGCACAGCATCCCTGCCCAGATCAGACACAGCATCCCTGCCCTGCCCAGGTCAGACACAGCATCCCTGCCCTGCCCAGGTCAGACACAGCATCCCTGCCCAGCCCAGGTCAGACACAGCATCCCTGCCCAGCCCAGGTCAGACACAGCATCCCTGCCCAGCCCAGAAGGACTGGGAAAAGCCCTGGGATTCATTTGGCACAGCTCTGCCAGCGACACCCTGGCAGGAGCTCAGACTGTGGGCAGCCTGCTGGCTCCAGTGGTGCCTTCTCCCTTTTCCCGTGATGTCCTCCTGGGGCAGACACTGCCAGTGTCCTCCCCTCAGCTGCTGCCAAAACTGTGCTTGTGCTCTGCCAGGGCTGGGATTTCCTGGAATGTCTGGGTTGGAGCTGGGACAGTGATCCTGGAGGGGCCCTCCATGCGCTGAGGAATCCCAGAATCATTGAATCATTGGTTTGGGTTGGAAAGGAACTTTAAAGATCATCTCATTCCAACCCTTTGCCAAGGGCAGGGACACTTTTCACTATTCCAGGCTGCTCCAAGACCTGTCCAGCCTGGCCTTGGACACTTCCAGGGATCCAGGGGCAGCCACAGCTTCTCTGGGCAACCTGTGCCCCAGCCTCAGCACCCTCACAGGGAAGAATTTATTTTCAATATCCCATCGAAACCCACCCTCAGCTTCAAGCCATTCCTGCTCATCCTGTCGCTCCAGGCCCTCATCTAAAGTTGCTCACCAGCTCTCTCGGAGCCCCAAAGGAAAGCCAGGGGCAGGCTGATCTGCAGGGAAGAAACAAGTGGTAGAGCTGGGCACCACAGGCTGGTCTGGAGGAAACCCAGAGCAGAAAGCAGAGGCAGAGGGGGAAAGGAAGGGAGAGCCCAGCGCCGCGGAGCCTGCGAGTGCCGACAGAAGGATGCGCTGTCTGCCAGGAGCAGGAGCTGTGGCTGAGCCTGGGGGGCCTGGGAAGGAGCGGGATGGAATAAACTCTTGCTCCTGTCACCCTGCAATGCTGCCAGGGCCCTGCAGCAGCACACCGGGCTGGGGAACGTGCTGATGGGRGCASRGRGAAGCAGCAGGAGCAGGCTGGAGGCAAAAAATGTGCCAGGATGGAAAATAAGGTGCATTTTAGGACTGCCAGGGATGAAATTACCCAGGGGAAGCACATGCACACCTGAGGGGCTGTGCAGGACAGCTCTGTTGACACTTCCAGAGCCCAGCTTGAGCTGTGCCAGGGGAGGATGCGTGGGCAGCGGATGGCAAAATCTGCAAAACAAGGTAAGGCTTTCCTTGTGCCAGGAGTAGTGACACGTGTCCCACAGAGCTCCACGTGGCACTGCCACAAGGCATGACAGGGCAGGGCAGGGCAGGGAAGGGCAGCACTGCCAGCGCTCTGCCTGCACCCGGGACCCGCCTGCACCCGGGATCTGCCTGCGGACATCTCAGCGACAGCTCACCGGACACCAGGGCAGCGGAGGAGGGAGGGCCGGAGCACTGCATCCCCTGGGGCTCCCGGAACTGACAGCATTGGCTTAGGGGAACAGGAAATGGGTTGCGGAGGAAAAAGGCAGGCAGGAAGGCTGACGACAAACTGTGGGATTTTTTTTTTTTTTTCCCAGCAGCGTTTCAGAGTTGTAAAGGGACACTCGAACCTGGGAACAGTCTCCCCCCTATCCGTGGTGCCGCAGCACACCCTCACATCCTTGCTGAGGCATTCCCTGGCTGCCTGCATCTTGGGCATTGCCTCGCTGGGAGCTCCTGTCCCCTGCACGCCAGATGCACTCATYCTTGGGGACAAGCAACCCCTGCACTCGGAGGGCTGCAGCCCCAGGGGCCGGAATCCCTGGAGCCRGTACTCCGTGCACCCTGCACATCCCGACTGCTGCATCCCTAATAGCCTGTGTCCCTGGAGCCAGTCCCCAATCCCATGGTGGCTGCATCCCTGCGTGCTCCCACCCCTGGGACCAGCATCTCCAGACTGCTGCAGCCCCCGGTGCCTCAATTCTCGGAGCCACTGTCCCTGCGCGTCCCCCCGCACCCCCGGTGCCCCCGCACCTCCCGCGTCCCGGGGTGCCCGCGGCCGGGCTGGGCGCTCCCTCGGGGGCCATCGCCGCCTCCTGCCGCCGCTCCATCCCCGGGACCCCTCCCGAGTGCCGCAACCCCGCCGCTCCCCCGCCCCCCCGGGCCCCTCCCGGCCCCCCCGCTTTCCCCGGTACCCACACGGTTCCCCGGTCCCCCTCCCTCTCCCCGGTACCCACACGGTTCCCCGGTTTCCCCGGTACCCACAGGGCCGCCTCGGGCTCCTCGGCCGC